TACGTAGTTGCGGCCGCGGACTCAATGTATTTTACAGGGAAGTCGAAGTCCAAACTCGATTTCTCCCCCATCTCCAAATCGCTCTTCCCGCTTGTGTCAGGCATCACAACTGATTTAGTTTTTCGGGTGAGAGAGGGTTTCAGGTCATCGCCCAGTCACCCTGCCGGTGTCCCTGGATTGCAATGTCCTCTTTGCCCATTTGTGCAGGCCCAAGAAGTATCCGACAACGCCGCCCTTCGGGCCAGTGCCGGAGCTCCAACCGTGGGCCAACCTTGAACAGGCAGTCGGCCTTCTCGGGCGCCAAATGCAATCGGACCTCCCGCATCCGACCAAGCAAAGGCTATTGGACATATTCTATGCAGGCTTAGTTTCTGCTTTGAGCAAGACATTGGATGCAATTATGTGTCTCCCCCTAGACCGGCCATGGTGTTGCCGCGGGCCTCGCATTGCTTGGGAATCTCCTGAGTCTCAGGTGCCGGTTTCCTGGGCCTCCCAATCAGAGCCCCTCCGGTGGGCTGTCCAGGCCCTGGCCAACGTGCATCGAGTCATTGCCACAACAGAGCCCCTAGAGCTAGCGATCTCTGGTCTGTCTCAGCCCCCCCTGGACCTATCCCCCCCCCTCCATCTGTTGCGCTCCTTGTGGGCCAGGCGGTGGAGGTATGTCGCCAATTCGCCCCTGGCGGAACGTGCTTCAGCACTTCCGCTGAGCAAGCTATTGCGCTACTCAACCCTGTCATGGCGGCGCTCGAAAACGCCTTGGTCACTGAGCTGAGGCAAGAAAAGGTAGATGGCATCCAGGCGTGGAAACATTGGGTCCCTCAGGCCAACTCCTTCTGTTCGCTGGTCCCACAAGCGGACCAAGGGCGCTCCAGCGTGGCTGCCAGCCCATGTCGAGGCTGGCGCGGCTTGGTCGGCAAGACCTTCCACAATGCTGGAAGGCGAAGCCGCGCGCGCCTCTCGCCTTTGGCAGTCGTCCTCTGCCCAGCTCAAGGCCTTCATCCCTGAAAGCCCCCCCCTCCCAAGGTTCGCGGCCGAAGAAATCAGAGCTGCGGCGGAGGCATTCCCTTCCAAGACGGCGCAGACTTACGACGGAATCCACCCGCGGCACTTTTCCCTCCTCACTGATGGCCACCTCGAGGTAATTAGTGCTTTCTTTTTCGGAGTGGGGGAACATTGTTCTTTTCCAACCGCGATCCTGGCCATTATGACAACGCTGCTGCAAATGGCAAAGCCCGAAGGCCCCGGCATGCCGGCTTTTCGGGGCATAGCCTTGATACCAGCACTTTATCGTGTCTGGGCCAAATGTCGACAGCCCCTTGCGCGAGCTTGGGAAGCGGATCATAGGCGCCATTTTATTTGACATCAACAGAACCGCTCGATTGAAGAAATTATTTTCTTGCAGGACGAATGATTATGAACACGTAGACCGCCCTCTCTGGGGGCGTGCGCGGCGGGAACGCGTCCCGATGAAGGTACTTTGCGTGGCACTCAACCAGTGCCGGGGGAGAGGCATCGTAACGATGCATGATTTAGCAGTCGACGTGGGGCACCCCTGCCGCGGCCTCGCTGCCGGCTGTGGTTTCGCGACCTTCGCGGTGCAAGTCTATGCTGTAGAGCCTCTTGACAACTGGTCCGCCCGCAATGAACAGCTTGCCTTTTCGGTTTTCATCGATGACCTTTTGCAGGGGATCACCGGACCCACCTTAGGCGAGGTTGTAAGCCACCTGGTGAAAGGCGTGGCTGATTTGCATGTGGTCATCAGGACCGAGCTCAAATGTACGATTGCCGTCGCCAAGTCCGCAACCATTGCCAACCGTGCAGGTCTGAAGGCGCGGCTCGCCAAGGCAGTGGGCAGACATGCTGACGCTCTAGCTTCCTCCGCCCGTATCCTTGGCATCGATTTCGCAGTAGGCAATCGCCGGCTTTTTCAGAAAAACCGGCCGATCCTGACAAGCCGGCTGACCAAACTGCGCGGCCGTGCCCGCCGACTTCTGGCACTCAGGAGGGCTGGCGCAGACCTCCGAAGAATTTGCATTTCGGGCTTAAGACCAATTCGGCATTTACGGGGTCTCGGTTACAGGAGTAGGCGAGTCGGAATCGTTTACTGCCCAATCATTCTTCTAGAAACTGGTGGGCGCCAGGGGTGATTCAAGGTCGCGCTCAGTATCCTTGGCTGTCCACAATGACCCCACTTGGCGACAAGGCCTCGCCCCTGCCTTGCTTTGGTCAAAGATAGTTTGGAAATCGGGCATTGGCCATGTCGCTTCCAACCCTCACCCCCTTCCTCGCCTCCTGTCCCTCGCCCGGCCCATCCCAACCCGCCCCCCTGGCGCGTGGGTCCAGGTCAGGGGCCCTCTCGGCGCAGCCATTCGATCCTTGGCTCGCATAGGGTGGTCGTTTCACACGCCGCTTGTACTGCGGGGCCCTGCGGGCAGGAGGTGGCCCCTCATATCCTTTTCTCCCAAGTTCATGGAACTCCAATTCCTAGAGTATTGGGCGCAGAGCCATTCCAGCGCCACTGCAGGCAAATTAGAACAGCCTGCGTCGACTACTTACGATTTCAGCGTGGCCCGGCGTTTAATCCAAGAATGCAGCCTGCAGAAGCACGAGCAAGGGCTGCTTCTGTCATTCGTCTGCCAGTCGCTGTGGACAGCACGTCAACTCAGGCAGGCAGGGTACGACGTCGACGCCACTTGCATGTGCGGGGCGCCTTCCGATAGCATCTCTCATCGCCTCCACTTCTGCCCCTGCGCCCGTGGCCTCAGGGGCGAGATGCTAACTGAGGGTGGCAGGGCCCTCATCTCTGATTCGGCCGGGAACTTCCCATCTGTGTGTGGGTTCCAGGAGCAGCCGGAGCCGGCGTCCACGCCGCCGCCAGGCACTGGCATTGCCAATCGTCGGTTCTGGTGTGCCGCCGAGGGCGCCGCCGCAGCGGAGGCCTTCATCGGCGATGTGTTCGCGGACGGTTCCTGCTTCAAGGATGGGCCCGTCGTTTTCCATGCCGCGGGGTGGGCGGTGGTGAAGCTGGCGCCAACGGGCAAGCTCTTCGCCGCTCTCTGGGGGGCCGTCGGCGCGGACTCTCCGCAGACCTCCCCAGCAGCTGAGCACATTGCCGTACTCGCGGTAATGAAATTGTGCCCGCGTGCCATTCTTCGTTACTCGGATTTCTTAGGGCTCGTCGAGCTCTCGGGGGCTCCGTGGCGGCAAGTGGCGGCCCGGCAGCGCGTGTGCGCTGGCCTCCATGTGCAGATTCGGGGATCACCGGCCTGGTCCCACGATTTCCGCAGTGTCAAAGTCCCAGCTCACGTGAACCCTCCTGATCTGCCAGCTGGATCGTTGGAGTGGTGTCGAGCCGTGGGCATCGACTCTGCTGACAGTTATGCAAAGAGAGGTGCACTCACTGCAGGGCAGCCGTCTGCGTCAGAAATATCGGCATGGATTGAAGAGAGCGCCTCCTTGAGGCGATATCTCATGTATGCAGCGCGGGCGTTACTTTTGCACCCGGGAGTCGCCCCTTCCAAAGCCGCGCGCTCCTCTTTCAACGCGCGGCGAAGGGCGCCAGGTCTCAAAACTGGCGTTGGGGCTGCCCGCCAGGCGCTCCCGCCCCCGCCGCCCCTGGCCCCGCCCCCGCCACCGCCGCCCCTCTCCCCGCCCGACGCGGCATCTTCGGCAGCTGCTCTGGCGAACGCAGAGGGGCATGCGTGGGCTTGGCGTCGCAACCGTTGGGCGTGTCAGCGCTGTTTGCGCTTTGTGGCGAGCGACCGCAAGCCCGCGCCACGCGTGGCGCCGCGCCCGGGGTAAAATGCAGCCTTCTCTGCTCTGGTCGCCAAACCAAGGGGGCGCCGACTGCGCGCGGCAAATTACCCCCACGGTGTCATCTTTATTTGCGGCAGTTGTGGCGCCTACTCTGAAACTGGCGCCGTGCGTTCTTTGGGGAAGGTATGCCCACCAGGACGCGCTTTCCCGTCCAATGGGGCAACGCAATCCTGGAATCGCTTTGCCGGGGGGCAGCGCCCCAATTCGAAAGTTGGCCCCGCTTATCGCCTTGGCGAGCGTCTCCCCGTCTCCGCCCTCTGTTCGCCCAAGTGCACTTTGAGTCCGTGGTCTGTGACAAAGTTGCTTCGCCTAACGCAGGCGCCATCGCGAAGTCTGCTGCTCGGTTTCTTCTGCGGGGTTGGGGGCCCGTTCCGACTGTGCTCTCCGCATGTCGAGATATGTTGCCCCAGACGCACGCCCTTCTGTGCCTCTCCTACATATCCCTCGCGTGCTGGAAGGCCCAGGGGGGGAATTACGTCCGCAAGGGCAGTTTTGTACGGAATTTCCCCCCCCCCCTCCCCCCCCCTTTCCATGCATTTCTTTATTGTGCGTGAACGCGTGCTGCGAACGGCCCTGCCGGGCACGGGGGGGCACGCTTGTTAACATCGCTCCGTCCTCTTTCCTTGGTCCCTGCCCTGAGAAGGGCCATGCGCGCCTCCGAAGCAATTCGCATCACTTGCGCGAAGCCCCTTCCCGCGCACTTGAGCAGCCCTTCCGGCTGTCGTGTCCGAGGATGGCCGAAACCAAGCCGAGGGGGTTCAGAAACCGTGGGGGGCGTACCGCGTCAGTGGCCACCTAGCCCATTCATAACATTCATCTCCCATGCGTTGAGACCCCCGGAAACCATTTAACTCAAAGGATTGTTTTCTGCTATCTTCGAGACTTTAAGGATGGGACCTCCTAGAGTCTTTGCAACTCCCTTTCTGCATGGGCATGCTGTTTTGGGCAGCGGGTGAGTGGGGGCGCGCAGTAACCTTGACCAGGGTTCTGATGGTCGCCTCATCCTTAAAGATAGGTTCTAAGTGCCCTCAAAGCCTATAGCGTGCCTGGCAGTCCTCCTCCTCGTCCTCCGTGGCAATTTTGGCTCAAGGTCGATCCCGAGTGAGTGTGGTCTCCATGGAGTTCTGTAGCCCTAGCCGCGGCAGGGCACGCATCAACGGCAGCAAGTCAGCCGCGGTTTCAGGATGGCGGCGCCGGCCATCGGGGCCTTCCAGTCGGCGAACGTCCACGCCGCGGGGGTGGTGGGCCAGAACTTCGTCGTCAATGGTGCCGGGGACGTTGAGTGCCTCGGGGCTAATGTGGGCCCTGCGGTGTAGGTCCTGGCCGAGGCTGGTTCGGTGGAGAACGGCGTGTGCAACCGTGCGCGCAGCCTCGCCCCGAAGCAGTGCGTTGCGCCTGGGGTTAAGCTCAACCTCGTGCGCAGCGAGCCGCCGCCGCGCCATCATAACCCGCGGGCCAAGGCCAACGCGGCCCCGAGCGTTCCCAAGGGCAAGGGCGGCGGCGAGAGGAAGCTGATTATGACCCAGTGCCGCGCCGAGCTCTGGAGGGGCGCCGCCCTCGACCAAGTCCAGGATGTCGACGGGTGGTTTCGCTTCGCGGCCGTCGAGGCGCTGGCGGGCGTGGCCCCCCCCTGCCGCGTGAGGTCGTCTCGATGGTCGCTGGCTTCCAGGGGGGGTCGTTGATGCTCATGACGGCGCTGGGCCTCCGGCTGCGCGGGGTCCTCTGGGAGGTGGCCCTTCGCGACTCGTTGACGGCGATGCTCATTGCGAGCCTGGGGCGCTCGGTGCGCGCCCGGGTGCCGGTCGCGGATGCGATGATCGGCGGCTTCGTCGACGCCGGCGCCTACTCTTGGTTCGCCAGAGTACCGGCTGTTCTACGGCGGGGCGGAGGCTGCCCAGCACATCTTCCGCGTGGCAAGCGCCATCTGGAACTGGGAGGTCGTGGCCGTGAGCCCAGCCTCTGGGGCGCAGGCGTTTCCGCTGGGCGCCGGCAACCGCGCCGAGCTCGCGGCCGCTCTCGAGCTCGACAGGGCCCGCGCCGCCGCGTTGTTCGCATGGGCCCTGGTCCAGCCGAAGGAGTTCTGGCACTTCGACGGGCTTAGCTGCCCGGCGAGGCGCCGATCGGGCATGCCGTCCCGGAGCAGCGTTGGCCGGAGCTGCTGTCGTCCGCGGAGTGACAGGCGGCGTGCCGCGTCGTCAGCGTGGACGTGCGCCGCGACGAGGTCCGCCGCGTCCGCCGCGACGCGCCGCTGGCCCGCCCGTGCCAAGGGGCGACGTCCAGAAGGCTGCGGCCTACTCGGCCGCCGTGGCGCGCGCCGAGGCCGTCATGGGCGGCCGCGGCCGCCGCGCGCGCAGGCGCGCGATGGAGAAGGACTCGCCGGACTTCCGCGCGTTCATCGCGCTGCTCTCGGTGCCCCTCGGCTGCGCGCTGACGGCGGGCGAGGCGCATGCGTGCGACCCCGGCGTCCTCGACAGCTGCAATTGGTGGGGCGAGTTTAGATTCCCAAGGGGAACCAGTGATCCTCAGGAATCCCGGAGAATCTTGAGATCCCGAGGAATCCCGAAGGAATCCTCGTCATTCCCAAGAATTTCATTTGAACTCCTCGGGTCTCCAAGAATCCGCTCTGACTACTTGGGCCCGCAGCAGCCCTTAGGGATTTCTCCGACCTTAGGAATCCTTAAGGAACCTTGGTGATTCTTTAGGAACCCTAATGGAGCCTTCGTCGGCTCCTCAGGAATCCCGAGGGAATCCTCGGGTCTTCAGGAATTCCAGCGGGCTTCTCGGTTCTTGAGGAATCCTTGCAGGGTCTTCGGATCCGCAGGAATCCCCGAGGAAGCCTCGCGCGCCCTCAGGAATCCCTAGGGAACGCCACATCATCAGGAATCCATGAAGAGTCCTCGGATCTTCGGGGAACGATCTGGAAGTCTGCTGAATTCGTAGGAATCCATTACGAATGCTCGGGAATCCATAGGGGGCACTCGGATCCTTAAAAGCCACATGGAATCCTTGGGAATCCCGATGGAACCCTCGGACTCCAGGATCACCAGGGAATCCCGAGGAATCCCTAGGGGATCCTCTGACCCCCAGAACCCCGACGGAATCCCCAGGGAATCCTCGGATCTTCGAAGGTCCGTAAGGGGCGCCTCGGATAGTCAGGAATTCTGGGGGAGTCCTCGGGCCTTCAGGAATCCCTAGGGGATCCTCTGGCCCTCAGGAACCACTCGGGAATCTTTAGGCATCCTCGGGATTTCAGGGAACTTGGAGGAATCTCACGGAATCCTCGGATCCTCACGATTCCGTAAGGACCCCTAACAGATCTTCGGATCCTTTGGAACCCTTCGGGGATATTCGGGTCCACGGGAACCCTTAGGGCATCCTTCGATCCGCAGGAATCCGTAAGGAACCCTCGGATCTTCAAAATTCCGGAGGAAATATTCGGGACCTCAGGAATCCTTGTGGGGTCCTCGGGCCCTCAGGGATCCGCCAGGAATCCTCGGGCCTTCAGGAAACCCAAAGGAATCGTCGGATGTCCTCAAGTCGATCGGGCATCCACGTGAACCTTTTTGGAATCCCACAGGAATCCTCGGATCTTCAGGGATCCTTCTGGAGTCCTCAGGAATCCCATAAAGGGATCCTCGGATCCTCGAGAATCCTCATGGAATCCTCGGACCGTCAGAACCCCCT